AACAGGTTGCAGTTGAGAGCAGCATTGATGCTGCCATCCCCACCTCCATGTGCTTGGGGCATGTTCCCTCCCAGGCCAGTCTCTCTGAGATCCCGGCTCCCCAGTGACATATTTCTCGTCCCCAGGTCACAGTGAGTGTGAAGGCCGAGGAGGTGTCCTCAGACAAGATGCAGCTCGTGGGGACATTGCAGGAACGCGGTGCTTCCTGGCCGGCGCAACCGAGGACCCGTGGTGTGGACGGCCCTGTGGAGGAGTGGGGAGAGAGGGAAACCCTGGGGCCTGGCGACAAGCTACCTCATGTCCCCAAAGAGGAGCCCTGGCCCCACCAGGAGTCAGGTGCGGTACCGGGTGTAAGGCCTGGACGTGGGTCCGGGTGCCTGCGTGGGTGTCCTGCATGCAGGGGGAGAGGCTCGAATGTGTGCCCCTGCCCGGGACAGGGCTGCAATATTCATAAGCAGGTAGCCGGGCTGGGACAGAGCTGTGATCTCTGTGGGCGGGCAGCGCCCAGGCTGGGGCACCCATCTTTCTCAGTGCATGTGTGCAGCCCCCAGCAGAGAGAGGCTGTTTCTTGCTTGGGCCTTGATGTGCTGCCATGGTAACAATGAATGACCTAATTGCTGTTCTAACAATCAGTGTTCAACTCGTCCCTTTCTCATGCCCCCGTGAGTCCTCTGTACCCAATAAGGGGCTGGTGCAAGTGTTGGGGAAATGAGACTCCCCAGTTCCTTATGGCTGGCTCAGGTACAGCTAAACCAGGCCTTTATCCTGCAGAGTCGCCCAACACCGAGGAGACCTGCGAGTTGTCAGCAGATGGAAGCTCCTCAGGCTGGTGCCCCAGACGAGGCCCTTCCCCAGGTGAAGGTAAGGAGCAGTGGCTTCCCCCTTTTCAGCAGCAGGAGGCACTGTCCATCTCTCTGCCACAATATTTTGGTGGGATCAGTACTCCAACAGATCAGCGGTTCTTGTTCTCCCAGTGCCCCGGAAGCATTTCCCATGCCCTGGACGTTGCATTTCCCCTCCCTCTGCTCTTAGCATGTAGATGCTGACACAGCCCCAACATCCTACGAGCTTCTTTCCCAGGGAGCATGTCCCTGTAGGCTCTGACATGGTGCTGTGATCACCACCCTACGCTGGGACCATGGGTGTCTGGTGCCTCTTGATTGGGGGGGGCGGCACTGGTCAGAAACTGGGAAGGGGGGGCTCCAGCAGCCA